GTTTTTAGTGTTATTCTATCTTTAAAATATAGATTAAAATATTGAAAATCACGTCATTGACCTAAGCTGAGGTCAAATCTGAGCTCAGATTTCAATAAACTTTCAAACACGATATAACTCAATCGAGTTCCTTCACTCTAATATCGTCTACATAATTAGAGGTGGTACGGTTTAATGTGTAAGCGTTGATCGACATCTTTGAGTTATTTAAATTTCTAAAACCGGTCTTTGATTTCTTAATGAACGTTATAACACGACCTTTTTCAATCTCACTTTCTGTTTCTTTTTCTACATCGCACTACAACACATATGTCAAGGATATTTAACATAAAATGTATAAACTCTTTCAAAAAAGGTGAATGGAACAATAAAAGACAATATATTCTGGAAAAGAATGAAATAAGCAGTAATTGTCTTGTGCGTCGAGTGGTGCATCACATGACATATTAGATACTTTGATATGAATAAATTGAAATACTTACAATATGTATTAACTGAAATATATCTTCTGTTACGATAAATCATTAGATAAGAATATATTGAACTGAAAAACTTTTGAGTACAGTAAGTAAAGCTCACTAAAACCAAAAATAGAATCTTGAAAGTCTTTGTTGATGATCTTAATGTCTATGGCAATGGTCTTATTGTCTACTACTAATGATCTTAAAGCCTCCCGTCTCTAACTATGATTTTAAAACCCTTGGTAATGATGATAGAGGTCCCTCCCAATGATCTTACAGATGACTTGGCAATAATTGTAATGTCCCAAAGATAAAACTATAGAACAAAAAAGAGATTTCTGTGAAAAATCAATTCAAATTTCAGTGTCATATATCTGATGCTAGCGTCTAATACCTTATTTATAAACATAAAAAATTGCTAAGGCATGAGCAATAAAAATTCTCAAAAGTCTACAGTTTGAAAGAATTGCATATTTTAACGTTGACCAGCTGCACTGACAAGATTTTTCTTCTCTCTCCGAAATGCTTGTTTTAAAAAAAGTTTACCTTTCCTATGAAACGAGATATTTTATACTTAAAAAGGAATTTAATAAATGTGCATTTTCTAAATGCACCTTGATTATTTTTAAATACGTTGCATTTATCGAGAAAATTGCAGCCATACAACAATTCTTGATAGAATTTTATAATGTACTTCACCAGAAGAATTTTTTGATGTACGTATTAGAAAATCTCTAACCAGTCATGTTTATCAAATGTTATGAATTCATTTACATTCTTATTTCGATCAACGTCCTCATACAGCACGTCGAACGAATTGCTGTATAAATAATAATAAAATCAGCCTAATTGAAGTTTGATTCAGACAATTTTATTTATAGTTTACACTTACGTGGGAACTTTCTTAGGTGTAACCCTCCATTTCCAAAATGGATCAATTGCCTACCTAGAGGTGGTAAAAAGTCTAAGAGATTTTATTCAGAAAGCTCTTCCTTCGAAAATTCGAGCCATTTTTCTGATTTTCAGAGCGCAAATTGGTCAAAATAGAAAAATTCATATCTCAGCCAAATAACATCGTATACACTTGAAACTTTTACACCAACTAGGGTCACACAGGTACTCACTACTGCGAAAGTCTCAAATCTCCACCAGTTTTACTTCTTGAGATACAAGATTTTTTATTATGGTAGAAAAAATCGTATATATCTCTCACTATCTGCATTTTTGTCCAAACATTTATTCCAATTATGTTCCAAAAAATTCAATGATATGATGAAATATGCGTGGTATCAAAGTGGTTATACCGCTACGATACACATACGATTTTTTCTACCATAATAAAAACTCTTGTATCTAAACAAGAAAAACTGGTGGAGATTTGAGACTTTCGCAGTAGTGAGTACCTATGTGACCCTAGTTGGTGTAAAAGTTTCAAGTGTATACGATGTTATTTGGCTGAGATATGAATTTTTCTATTTTGACCGATTTGCGCTCGGAAAATCAGAAAAATGGCTCGAATTTTCGAAGGAAGAGCTTTCTGAATAAAATCTCTTAGACTTTTTACTACCACTAGGTAGGCAATTGATCCATGTGGGTTGCATTTGAAAAGGAGGGTTACACCTAAGAAGGTTCCCTCGTTAGCCATAGTCTACACTTAGCAATTTTTTTATAGTAGAACATGAACTTATGAACAACTGTATTCCATGCCTGATTTTTCAATATTCTGTATAGACTTTAGTATTGATACGCACTATAAACTAATAGGTTCATTCAGTACTCCAAATCAGAAAAACCTCAAAAAAGAAGTTCTCTTGTGTGACGTCGGACAGAGTTGGAACCGGTTGAGAATTTTCTAAACGGGCTGGACCGTGTCCATTCAAAAAAAATGAACAGAACAAATTTTAGAATATCTATTATAAATTTCAAATCTATTTTTTTTCTGACCTAGCCACTATGTTCCTTTTTTGTAACAGAGAATTTCCGTTAGAATCTCTAGTCTAGATATATAATAACAAAAGAACATGTCACTATTTGTTTTCATTCCAACTAGAAAAACATCCACTTAAAAGAATAAAATCAAAACAGAACAAAAGAAAATAACTCTGACAAGAACTATTTTATTTAAAGCAACTAATATATGACGATTAGAACATACATATTTCATTTTAAAATAGAAAAATGAGTAATACATGGACATGTTTAACAAACATCTGTGCTAATAATGATTTATGTTTTGTATTAAATGGTACTATTGAGGAATGTTTATATCAATAGTGTACTACCGGTCAACATTGCGAAGTTAAGTACAATTATTTAGCTCTATCATGGGCACCTACAATGTCGACCAATATCGCTCATAGACAATTGAAACAGGAGTAATTTAGTTTAAAATTTAATTATATATTTATTGTTAGCTGTATGATATTGATACTGATAACAAATAATTTATTCAGTTTACAGATGTTCTTGTGTGAAAGAATTCGAATAACTAGTTGTGTATACTGTTTACTATTCTATTGTGTTTATAATCTAATAGCATGTCTTTTAAAGCAAGCAATTGCTGTAATGATGCTCTATAATGATTAATTGATCGATTATAGCTTATCCGTCATGTTTGGACACTTAAGTCTATGGAAAGTTCTTTTATTGCCATTGAACGAACACTTGTCGAATATAATCAAACACGAAACAAACATTCATCGTTTCAATTATCTTATTAATATTTATTACTTCAACTCGTACTTAAAAGATAATTACACGTAAAACGATTCAAGATCGAACACTGTCTACATCCTCATACTATTGCACATTTTGATTGTCCCACGCACGGGCTATCTATGATCGAATATAAGATCATCCACATTTAGTATTACCATCTCTATTACATTTTTTAACAACCATTTATGTTTTAACAACTATTGCCAAAAGAAAAGTATTTATTAGTGAACGTCAAGTAAGATTTTGGCGCATATGGTTTCGACAATTAGCTTAACATAAAGATTTTTTAAGTTCTCCATTTGTACAATGCCTCATGTTCTATTTATCGACATCAAATATAATCATTGTGTTGGGTCATTTGAAAAAATTTATTCACATTTTCACATAGCAACTGAACTGTTATTTTGTACACTACAAACTCTAACATTTTCTGTCTATGTTTGTTCATCAATAAATGAGTATCTTCAATCAAAATAAATTAGGACAAAAAATTCAACATTGAAACTCAAAATATCAAGAATCTTGAAAGAAACTGACTAAGTTGCTATTAGCAGAGTAAAAACGAGACATAGCATTTCTGTACGAGGTAAGAAGTGAACATAGTTTACATTCTAATACATGAAACATATTCAACGAATAATAGACTAGTATTTAAGTAATACTGATCGATATTGGTGATCGAATGACCCATCATTTTAATCTAGTACACCCAAAATATTCGAAGAACAACGTTTTAATGATAGAATCGAATATGTGTTATTAATTTGAACCAATAAAAATCTGTTAAAAGCGAGTAGATAGCATAGCTGAGAACGAGTAGAGTGACAAAGGTTAACAGTAGTAATTCAAACCGGCTTGATACTGTTAGGCAACATTTAATTCGCTCTTTTACTAGTTTTCTCTTTTGAGCACATGTAACTGGGCCATCACACAACATATAGTCTTGCTCGACTAAATGGATTTATTTGCTTCTTGGGATACAGAAACAAATCAGATAGTGTACAGTTGCAGACAACTCTGTGATAAAATAGCTCCTACCGAATAGTAATCATTTAGGTCTATGTCAACAAAATGATATTTATGAAATAAAATCAAAATCGTGCTCGAAACAATGTCGAGATAAGAGACAGCTTTGCTTGACAGATTATGTTGTCGATTGCACACAAATCTCATACCAGACGAACGACAATTTTCTGAGAAAGTTATTGTTGAAGTATAGTAGTGTATACTATCACAATGAATAGGCTTCGTTGTGCCTTTCTTTCAACATAGACAAAGAAGAAACTATCTCTCAGTTTTGAGCATATACTCTCATGACATGTTCACATATCGTTCAATTATGTCAATCACTCACTGTCTTAGTCCTAGTTGATTTCCTCTCCATAGTCATCACTTGTCACAAATATTCATCTGTCGTTTGTGTTCAAGGAGCATGGGCTAGCAAAAAAGACACTGAATAGCACGAAACACACCATTTATTTGAAATCATAATCTACAACTTGACGTAGTAAATTTCAAGGGATGAATGATTGTTTGAAACTATTTCAAAGGAAAAAGGGGATGTCAAGACTGGTTATTTTATAAGCAGGATAATAAAAAGCAGAGCTAGAAAATGTAAATCAAGCGAGAATATGATAAAGTAATAAAAAAGTGTTAACTCTGAAAAACATAAAATAAACCAAACTGCTAAACTTGTGTTGTCTAAGCATAGAGGAAGAAGGACTAGTCATGCACACATTCAACAATGAGTAAAAAGAAAAATGTAAATATTTTTGCGTCTGTGTGAGTTCAAGATGAGACAATTGCCAATGATTTTCTTAATTATTTATCTTTCGGTAATTCTTGTTGTTCTCTGGCGAGACTATCATATCTTGTCTAAAATATAGTGAAACAAATATGTTTACAAAACGATGTCGTTGATTAACATTTGTAACTCAATGTACCTGTAGTTGTCGATGTTCATCAGCTAATTTGTCATAATCTGTTATAGAACTATCATATTTTTCACGAAGTGCATCCATATCAGCTTTTGCTTTACTCAAACCTAAAACAAATTTCTATGAATTGTTGTTTAATTGATAAAAACATACTATTTTTCTTTGATTACCTTGATTAAGTGTACTAAGTTGTTCATCATGTTCTTTTGGATCAATGTAACGTGAAACATCACCAGCTTTTTTGTCACCTGTCTAAATCACAAAATTTGACTATTTAGCAATAAAGCAAACTATTTATGTTTATCTCACCAATAAATCATCAGGCGTGAGACCTTCAAGATGGCGATGTGCACTTTCAGCTTGTTTACGAGCAGCAACTGAATCAGCCATTTCATGTGCACACTGTGATAATAAACCCATGAGACGTTTAATAACACTAAAATAGAAAGAGTCTATGGAGTTGTTTTTAAGGTGAAGAATACAAACAAAATCATCAACGAGAATAAGAAGATCCTAGTAAATGTACTTGCTTACTTGCAAATTTCTGTAGATCCTTGACGTACATTATAGGAACTTCGCAAGTATTTTTCAAAAATACTACTTGATAAGTGTTTGCGAAAATTTGCAAGTAAACAAACACTTGATATGTGTGTTCTTGTACTTTGACAAGTACTTTGTTTTGTTTTAGAACAGCATCAAGTATGTGCAAACATGATGGTGTGTGTTTGGTACGAGATTGGTGACTAATATCCATAGCTCAGGGTTTGTACCCTTTAAAAAAAGGATCACTGGCAAACCTTAGTTTTTCGTGTTTTTACGATCAACCTTTTATGATATATGGTTTCGTAGACTGTTGACGAAATAGAGATAGCGTACGAAACCGGAAGAATAACTTTTTCCCGAAAAGATTCCGATTGCCTTTACTAAGATATCAAAAAGGTTTAGCAAAAACGTTTTTTTTCTTCAAAATGATCGTACGACACCATTTATCCTTCAAAACACTTAGTGACTCTTGTAGTCGAATAGGCAAATATCATACGAAACCTAAGGAGTGTAGAAATGTTTGGAATTCTCTATACTTTTTTAGGTTTTATAGTAAACCATTTTTCTTTGAAGAGTACTGATCAGATTTGGTCGAGTTCATCTGATAATAGTTGAGCAAATGAAAAGAACACGAATGACCACACTTCTTACACAGCTACGATTATATGCAGCGTTTTCGATTAGGTGGGGGATTTCTGCCACCTTATTAGAAATAATTAATCCGTTCATTTTAAAAATTTACTCCTACTAAAAAAAAGAAATTACTCCGAAAAGTTAAATGCCGTTTTTTTTGGTTATCAGCTAAATTTTTAGAGTTGCTCCATAAAACTTCCGCCATCTTGCCAAAGTTATAACGAAAACGCTGATTATATGAATAACGTTTATGAGTACATTCATCAGAATTGTTTCTTACACATTCGCTATGTTAAAATACAAATAAAACAACAGAATAAACATTATTCTACCAACCCTGGAGAACGTACTTGATTACTTGCTAAGTACTTGTCAATGATCGAAATACTTGCCTTATTGCTTAGAGGTACTTTCTGGAAGTACTTGGCAAGTAAGGACAAATACTTACAAGTAAATTTACTTCTTGAAAAAAGGTAAGTACCGGCTTCATTACGCAGACGAAGTACTTGGTTCCAGTACGTTCTCTAGGGTAACACACACACATATTATTTGTCATGTACTTGCGGAGTACTTCAAATGCTTGTAGAATTTATTCAAGAGGAGCAGTTGCCAAGTACATCATTTACTCGTCAAATTTTCCTCAGATACTTGCAGGTTACTTCGGCAAACACTTAGCCTCGTGCTTGACAAATAGATCAAGTACTTGATTTATTTGCGAAAAAAGCCAAGAACGTTGGACAAAACTTGCGAGAGTAGTTGGGCAAGTATATGCACTAGAGGAGCCTTTAAAGGAGATTATGGACTGTATGGATAAAGCACATGTTTTGGCTCGGATAAAACGTCTCAGAATCTTGGGATGAAAAGTGGCCTTTCCGGTGCCGTTAGAAAGAAACATTGTTGCTGACTAACATCAAATGAGTTCAATACTTACAACCATAAAAACAATGCGAAACCGGCGATATAAAAATTTCTTTGTGATCGAAATTGTTTCATATGCGTTTGTGCTTCCACATGGGGTGTTGAGATGTCCGGAGTAAATTTGGAATATTTATTTAATTCACGAATAGAATCTATTTAAAGATAAAACATAATTGTTCTCGCTATTGGATAAAATGTGAATGATTTAAAAAGTAACTTACCCAAAAATAACAGTGTAAAGACACATATTATAAAATTAAAATAATATTTTGCACCTAAATGAGAGAAAAATACAACCTTAAGATTAATATTGTTTGCAGAAATATTATTTGCTTACCAGCTGAAAATGCCTTAACCAAACGAGATTTAAAAAATTTATGCCAGCTAGAATAAAAAAGATATAAATTAGTAATCAGGTAATCGCAAGCTCGCTAATGCTTACGTTGCTGGTGAAATAAATGGTAATAATAATATAACAATAACAACTAATTCACAATAAAGAAATGTAGCGAGAAAGGTCCACTGAAAACTCATCTAGAAAAAACCAATAAAAAATCATCTATTATTCAAAATTCATTTTTGCACTATTTTTCTTTTATTCAACACAAGACGGAACGTCAGTTCTTGAAGGCATTGCCAAAAAATGTAGTAATAAATATCTGTACGATTACTTATTTCTATTATGAGAGAAAAAAAAGAAAATAGTTAAATTATATGCAATGTCTTGTTTGTTTTTTGCGTTAATAAATTGATTACTCAGCCGTATGGTTTTTAAAGTAAAGGTACAAAGAGTAACCGATGACACAACTGATTAGAAAGAAAAAGAATATCATTATGTCATATTCATACGCATCTGTCACAGTCGTTTTCTGTCTCGAATACATATGTGTACAACTAAAGGACTAAATAGAAAAACTAGCTGTACTTGTATGAAGTTAAAGATCATACAACTTTAAAGCTGTACTTTGAACAACACATATTATTACATTATATTTTGATTATTCATTCTTTGTTTTCGTTGTAAACAGACGCCATTTTATCTATTTGATACGTGTCCCTTCTACACCAATGATAGAGGTCCACATATTTAACCCGAAAATGCAGAATAAATACTGTCTTATTTACAGTAAAATGTTAAAAAATTTATCCTTCTATACAGGTGCAAAGGTTTTAATACAAAAATTTCGCTCTTTTGAATGATAGAGGATTTTCAGAAATCGACAGATGTCTGCAGCAGATGAGATTTGTAGCATAACTTGACCACGTAACTGTATTCCCACAATGTGACTTCATAGTAAAGAGAAAAAGGAAGGGAAGAAAAAGTAACGTTGGGCGACTTCTTTCTCCTCGTCTGTTTCATTATTCTCGTTCGTAGCGAAGAAATACAAATAGTCTACCGTTTCTATAGGATCTAATGTCACAAAAAAGGCTTAAGTTGACAGGACATGTGAAACCATCGTGGTCGGTGTTTCTTAATAGAGACTGTAATGAGTCAATGTTCGGATCGAGCGGAATCGAGTTCGGATCAAATAAAAAATATTTCAGATCCGGTTTGAATCATCACAAATTTTCGATTTTTCATGCGTTTTTCTGCGAAAAATCTGGAGTTACACCCCTTTTTTTTGGCGAAAAAGTTTTTTTCGTGATTCAGTCGGATCATGGAAAACAAATTTCGGATCGGGTTCGGCTCAGATGAGTATGACCCGGTTGGGTCTCCAGTTCTTAATGCGCTAAAAGCAGTTGGCGCTATATACGAAAAAAAAGATATTGATGGTTTGGTTAATGAGTTGAACAAAAATTAAAAATTTGTTTTCTTTTCTTATTGTTTTAACAATATTTTTTTTTTGTTTTTCTATGCAACAAATCGAGATAAAGATGTTTTTTTTCATCGCGTTATACCTATAAATCGCTGGATGTACAGAAGAGAAAGGCAAAATGAGTAAGGTTGACAGAAAATATGCACATCTTGATCGAGTTTGGTTTATCTTTTTCCTACAGGTCTATTCTAAAAAGTGACTGTATTGGTAGAAAAATCAATTTTTTTAACAACTTCAAAAAAATGATTGTATCGTTTTAAGATAATTAACTAACGATGGACTTATTATTTATTAATTTCTTCCCATGTTGTCGGAACCGGACGAAAACCGTCGATTAACCACGGTTATTTCAGCTGAAACCATGATAACACAGTATAAAACCGTCGGTTAATCTCACAATTAACTGGGAAAATGGTCAGTACCGACCGTCCGAACCGTACGTTTTTCCGGTTAATTGTAAGATTAACCGACGGTTTTTATGCTGTGTTGCTATGGTTTCAGCTGAAATAACCGTCGGTTCTTAAGATAACCGTGGTTAACCGTCGGTTTTCGTCCAGTTTCGACAAGATGGGTTGACTTTCTTATTTACTTTATTTAGATGTAAACTTAACGCTTACATATAAATAAAAGAAATAAATTTCAAAACAATAGACGAATTTTTTATGCTAATATTTCGCTCCAGACATGGAGCATCATCAGAGCACAAAAGAGAAAAAGAAAGAATTAAGTTTATATTTAAATAAAGCGAATAAGAAAGTAAAGAAATTAATAAATAATAAGGTCATCGTTATGTAATTATCTTAAAATTATAAGAATATGCCTAGTAAGGATAATATAAATAAGATTGTATCGATGACAATCGTACTAAAACAGCACGTGACATAGATTATACACCTATCAGATATCATATTCTAACTCTCATTGGAGACTTATGTATAGTAGATGGGACACCTGATGGCAGCCCTCCCAATAACCTCACACAGCCATCCACAACATCATCATCATCATCCATTTGTGTGTGGTGTGTGTTCAAAGACATCTATTTGGTAATCAGAACTACGATTTTTTTTTTTCTCCTTTTGTAGCATATGCTTTATGGTTAATATGGTCAAATAAGACAGATTCATCAAAAGTGTCGTTATTGACTCATTAATAATCGTGTGGAATGAACTAAAGAGAAGATGGATCAACTATAGCTTTTCCAGATATGTTTTTTCTTAATAAACCTTTTTGTGGAACTTCCTCACTATCTTCGACGAAGAGGGAGTAACAGTTTTATACCCAAAAGCCGCTGTTTTTATGGTAAATTTGACCCAGGCTCCCCACCCTCCTTACACGCTCTTAAAAAATACCCTTACGCGATCTTAAATTGGCCTTTACGCGATGTGAAAACTTTTACGCGATTGACGATAGTACCTTTACGCGATCTTAAATTGTGTTTCAAAGTTTCGTTTGGATATAAAATCTATGGAAACTGAATGGGTTGGGCATGTAGTTCAGCATATTAATGACTATTAGTCACAGCCTCTTAATAAAGGCGCATAGAACCTCTTAAAGAGGTAGTCGTAACCTCGTAGAAAAATGCACACAACCTCTTAGAAAGCCGTACACAACTTCTTGCGGTGGTGATCAACATTACTTAGATCGGTTCGAATGACCGTTACGTGCTATACTGCCAAGTTTTCTTAGAATGATTCACTTTAACCTTTATTATGAAACCTCATCTTTTAATCTTTTATTATTTACAAATATTTTTACATTCAGATGTTGTCTTTCGGGCAGATTCTTTTATTATGAGAATGTCTTTTGTTCCATTGCTGAAATAACTCCCGTTTGTTTTTTATAAGTTATGATGTACTCATTTGTCATTGAGTGATCCATCGCGTCATCATTTTCACCTAAGACTTGTATCTATGTGTACTGATGCCGGTAGAACAGATTTTAAAATTAAATCAGTAACAACTAGGTCGTACGTTTCTTTTGTTTGATTTTTTACTTTAATTTCAAACTTTTCATCACACGCTGATGTATTGACCAAACGCTTTCTCAAAAATATATATGCGAATGAAACGTACATGTCAAAATATATCTGACAGTATATTAAACTTTTATTTCAGATTAGAAATAATTTTCTTTGTTAAGACTAAACGTCTCAGTATTGGAAGTTCCACGTTTTAGCACCTGCAGGTGCTACCCTGCCAAAGTTTTTATAATACAAAACAAACGTCTTTGTGAATAAAAATTAGTAAATTGAGTTGAACAAATTCAACTCATACTCGTAACCAATCCGATCTGAAGTTGACGGGTATGAACAGATATAAGTTTGTCTAAAGTTTACCCGAAGACAGCTCATGTCACCAATTTGCTTTGGTTCCCGAGAAGGCATATATCAGATAAAGAAATATGAAACTGCGGTGAAGATCCGTGTTTAATAACAGTTTTAATAAGAGATTCTAAAAACTTGGAAATTAGATGTTGGGAACACTATTCAATAAATTATAGCGTAAACTTTAAAAAACTTATAACGGGCCCATACCCGTCAACTTCAGACAGGACCGAAAATAAGGGGCGAATATTAGCCGGATGTAAAACTGAATGTCTCTCCCAGGTAGTGCAAAATCTATTAAAACAGTATTTCGATGTAGCACGACAGCCGAAAAATATTTTCGGTTCATAATATGCTGAAATGTTAGATATGAGCTACACTGGACTGATAGTGTTTTGCGCACTATTCGAAATACTTTTGCACCGCTTTTGAAATTCAATTCTAATATTCCTTCTTATAAAAAAAACATCTGAAAAACCGTTTTTCTTTGATATATAAAAACTAAACGGGTTTTTACCGTACCTTGAAATATCCAAATAGGTTTTTCATCATAACGGTGACGATTCTAATTCTGACGCCGTTCATTTGGTGATATGTAAAACATCATTTTGAATTTTTCGCTTACCTTTTTTTAGACAGTATCGTGCGGAAATATACTCGCATAAAAGGTCTCAATCTCTGACACGTGTATATATATCTTCTCTCTTTTTCCCCTACGAAAATAATCTTCTGAAAACTGTTTCAGAACTATAATTCTATCCTATAAGGACTTTTTTGAGGGAAAAGTGCGATAAAATACCGTATTGTGATGTAAAATATTCACTAATTCATCATAATGAGTGGTCTTATCTCGCCATGTCTTAAGTTTATCGCGATAACGCTGTATGTGCGTATGTAACATGTACTCAGATATTGTTCAATATTGTATGTAATCGCGATAATCTCAACACATAACGCGATAAGACCACACATAGCGATGTATCGGTTGATATGTTACATCACGATACGATATTTTATCGCGATCGGTGTCACGCCCCGATATATCGTACTTTTTCCATCGAAAAAGTCCTCATGGGATGATCTTTGAAGTTGAAACCTTTTGGTTATACTAGTTTCTGATACACTTTCGACTGGTATGATTGAAACCGAAGATTAATAATTGAACATTAGATTGAGTTAAATATCGAAATTGCAATGCTTATACCCAAGCAAAACTAAGTAAGCGAGAAAATCTAGCTGCAGAAGTAGCTGCAGCGCCCACTTACAGCTAGATTAACTAGATTAAAAGGTACATTTATCTAGCTGCATGATGGCTGAAATTGTGTACTAGCTGAAACGGCCACTGCATGGGCCAATTAATCGAGCAATGAATTGCCCGATTAATCGATAGC